TCAGTTCAAGGACATTAATAGCCTCAACTGCCTGATGTATTTAGAACTTTTTCCTGTCTGGCTCAAAACTTTCTGTAGAAATTTAAAGTATGAACATCAGTTTGGATTCATAACTGCTATTCATCACCACAACTTTATTTAAATTTTAACAATAATGGGTCATTTAGGCATGAGACCTCATTCCCTGTGATCTCTTTCTCTTCCTGTGTGTGAGTTTCAGGCATCAGTCACACCTTGGGTGTCTGCAATAGTTATTGTTGGTGAAGCAGCCCAGATGTCACACTGGGAGCTATCAAAGGAAAGAAACAGGGCTGAATTAACCATCTCTGGGACCCTCCATTGGACAGGAAATGTTTGCTGCTCAAAGGAAGCTGTCAAGTCAACAGATAACAGGAATTTGAAAGCCAGGTTCTAGAAGAAGTTGGCAAGAAGACTCCACTGGAACAAGGATTGGAATCTGTTGCCCAGGGAAGTGGTGGAATCATCATCCCTTTAAATGTTCAAAAACCAAGTCAGCGTTGCTCCTGGGGATAGGGTCTAGTGGCCAACATGGTGTTTCCAGGATATCAGATGGACTTCATGATTTTAATGATCTTTCCACCTTAAAGATTATACAATTCTACGTCTCCAAAGCTGCAGAAAACAGTTTGTTTTGTTCTAAGCATTTTTAAAAGGACACAAAAGGGATGTTAACTTTTCAAAGGTTAATTTTGAAAGCTAAAAGTTAGTCAGTGATTACTGGAAACTAATTTCTTTGCTCATTGTACACAATTCAGTGCCACCTGAATTCTCTTGAGAAGTTGTTTGGTTTTGAATTAGAGAGTTGGTGATCATCATGGCTCTTCCTAAGACTCCCAAGGTCTGATCTCTGCTATCATCTCTGTGACAGAGTCAACCAGGACAGACCATTTCATTACCATTTTCATGTTAGTTTTTCCCTGCCTGAAACATGTGAATTGTAATAATTATCTCATCAACAAATTGCTCTGAGATCTACAGCTGAAACTGTAACACCTGGAGCAGTCATGGTGGTCATGATCTTTGAGGGTTACCCACCATGGGTGTGTGAAGATTCTGCAGCAGATATACAAGACACAGAGGCCAGATGTCTCAGAATTCCTTTATTACAAACTACTACAAAATTACTATCAATTAAACCATATATATATATATATATATATATATATATATATATACACACACATAAACATATAACCTTGTAGATTCATAGAACAATTAAGGTTGAAAAGAACATCTAAAAACACCACGTCCAACCACCAATCCACCATCACCATGCTCACTATGAGACTCTATCCTGAGTGCAGTACCAACAGATTTTTTGAACACTTACACAGATGGTGAATCTGAAACTTCCCTGGGCATCCTGTGCCAATGCTGCACAACACTTTCTGTGAAAGAAATTTCTTTAATTTCTAATCCAAACCTCCTCTGGTGCAACTTGAGACTATTTTATCTCATTCTGTCACTATTTTATCTCATTCTGCCACTTATAACCTCAGAGAGACTGATATCCACCTCCATACAACCTCCCTTCTGGTAATTGTAGAGAGCAAGAAGGGCTCCTCTTAAATATAGAGGACATATAATATTTTGCAAGCTATTACAGAATTCCAATCAGTGAAGTAAATATATGCTTATGAACCTTTATCCTATATATGCTTATGAACCTTTATTTAACATAAATAATTATATGCTTATGAACCTTTATTTAGCACTATGTCAGGGCTAAAAATATACATATATGTGAAGTGTTGCAGGCATAACTTGCACCATACTGTTCCCAGAATTTGGGCTTAACAGTAGAAAATTCTCACTTCAAAAATTACCTGCCTTGTGGCATCTGGAGTCAGCCAGGTGTCCCCATCAAGGGTCCAGGCTGTCTGGACATCTTACACAGGGAAGATCTTGCAGAGAAGTTAATTTTCTGTCATTACTAAGTTCCTTTTCATACCTTTTTGGGTTAGACATATGAAGATGAAATTGTGTCAAGGGATGTTTGGGTTGAATATTAGGAAAAAGTTTTCACCCAGAGTGGTTGGACACTAAAATGTGATCCCCAGGGAAAGGGTCACAGCACCAAGCCTGACAGATTTCAAAGTGTGTTTGGACAATGGTCTCAGGGACATGGATTCTTGTTGTTGTCCCATCTGGACTTCAATGGATCCTTTTAGGTCCCTTTCAACTCAGAAAGGGATTATTCTATTCTATTCTATTCTATTCTATTCTATTCTATTCTATTCTATTCTATTCTATAATCAACAAAACTGAAAAACTCTATGGTAATATCCATAATAAAAACAATAAAGAGTACAACTTCAAAGTTAATCCCCCACAATCCTAATTTTTTTCTAACAATGTTGTTAAGCAGACATATGAGGAAGATTCAGCCTACCTGATTAGTGTTAATATGTATATGCAGTTGCCATAATCAGTTTTCATGTGTGCAGTCCCTCACAGCAGGTCATCCTAGAACTTTAGGGTCATACCAGAACCACAGACACACCTCTGCTTCCAGAGGGGAAAGTGAAACATCTTCTGCATTGTTGGAGGCATTGTAATCCCAGTTCTTCAGCTTTCCACTTTTGTTTACAGAGTCTGTTTCAATTCAACCTTTTTAAATAATTGCATCTATACCTAAGCTGTGATGTTTTCCTCTACATTAAGTATTCTCTAACACTGTCTAGGATCAGATAATTAAGAAAGTCCACATAAGACAGCTACAAGTAACTACAATAGTCTGTTAGTGACTTTATTCTCCCTGTCATTCCTTTCATAGGCTCAATTTACTGTCTGTTTATCTTTATTTGTCTATCTGGATATCTAAAAGACATTTTCCTGGAAAGCTTGTTGCAATTGTTAACTTTATAAGTTAGTGAATAACAAAATAATCTTAGTATTTCTTCAAGTTTTGTTACCTTTCAATTATATCAAAGATACCCTCCTTTTGCACTAGAAAGGGTTCAGAATCATTCTAGATATATATATATACAAATTCCTCCCTTTCCTTCATTTAGGTTTTTCTTCAAAATCCATTGAAGAGTTCAAGAAGACTACTAAATCTCACTGAAGCCAGTAGACACTCATGCTCTGTAAACTGCAGTTTGCAGTGACCTGTACAGCTCAGTGTATCAGTACTTGATTTCCCTGTTGTCACTTCCAGACCTCTGCATCTCACTCGGCACTGTTAGCTACACAATTTTCTTGCAATAACTCAATACCTTTAGGAGTTGCATGGCATGGTACTTACAAGGTTTAAATATTTCTTCTTCCACTGCAGAAAAGTTAATTGCACTGGGGCTGTGCTTTGCCAGCCCCAATTAACACAGAAGCTGAAACTGCAGCTTAACATTCTGGTCATGTGCATGGGTATGATCTGTGACACCTCAAGTACCCACCCTCCCACATCCTTTGTTCCTTCCTGAACCCCTTTGTGGGGTTCTTGCCACAATTTTCAAACATAAAAGTTCAATTGGTGTGAAGTAAAAGTATTGGAAGTAGAAGGGGATTTTTAGAGTTTTCACAGTTGTTTACAGTTGAAGAATCTCCACCTAGTTCAATTATACTTGAGCAGCACAATAGCCCAACCCCAAATTCCCAGCTCTCATGATCATGCAAGTATCCATTGCTCCACCTAGCTGAAAACAAGCCAAGATTTTTGCGTTTTCATCTATATAATGAAAAGGAGATTTAAGAAAATCTTACACTTCCCTTTTATTTCAAGAAAGTTTCTAAACCAGAGCCTAAAGGAAGTGACAGAAAGGAAAACAGAAGAGTGTGTGGATCTCTTAAGCTTGCCAGGTAAAGTGGAACTGTTGGGTGCTCAGCTCTGAAACAAAGAATTCCTTGAATCAAAGAGCATGAAAAAAATCCACCATCATCATATTTGACTTGAGCAGCCATCAGAATCCCCATGCTAGTGGCATGGCCAGGTTAGAAGAACTGGACAATGCAATGGGATTCCTGTGAATCTGTCTTTATTTGTTTACCAGAACACATATTCTGCTTTTTCTGAGTAGAGTTGAAATCATTTGAGCATTTTTGAACTCAGGGAACAAAGTTTATTTCAGTCAACACTTGTATCTTTGCCTTCAAAACATATTGGAGAAACTTCAACAATATTTACTCTACACTAGGTGCAGGGAGCTGTAACGTAAAAAAAAATAGGTATAGATTTACAAGGAAGGCTTAGGTTTCATCACTGTAATAACTGATTCTAAGCCACCCTTAAGCTGTTTTTTCCATCTGCAGGAACAGAAGTTCACTGAATTAATCTAGCTCAACATTTTATCGAGGTAGGATGCTAGGCAGCTACATACAGGAACTGTACTCTCCTACACTCTATGCTGGTATATTAGCCCTTATGCCTTGCTCTTTCTGTGCTTTCACTTCTTTTGGAAAATACAAAAAAGTGCCCAGTTTTTTGTTTTTTTTTTTAAATCTACACTATTGCCATGCTGGTATATTAGCCCTTATGCCTTGATCTTTCTGTGCTTTCACTTCTTCTGGAAAATACAAAAAAGTGCCCAGTTGTTTTTTTTTTAAAAATCTACATTATTGCTCAAAAATAGACTTGTGTGTATATGTTTTTACTACTCTTATTACTGCTACTTATGCACTACCTGTACCTAACAATCACAACAGCTATAGTCCCAACCCCAAAAACAAATATTAACATAACCACACTACTTGCCTTTGTGGGAGTTTCACAGATTTTAAACCTTTCAACTTTTTCTCATTGTTTAACTCACATATTTCAGAGTTCAATATTTATTAAATACTTGTCACAGTCATCTTCAGTTATCCTGGTTTAACTCCTAAAGTGTCAAACTCCTTAACTTCTTTGACTCTTTCTGTTCTTTTTTTTATGTATCTAATTTTATTTGTATTCATCATACAAAATTGCTACCAGCTGTACATCATCTCATCAGTAAAATAAGTGTCATATTTTTCTGAGAACTGGGCTAATGATGTGCCCTGCTTCCTGGAGAAAATTAAGATGGCATAAAAAAGAAGGAAATTTGACTACAAAGTCTTTGTTTAACCCATGAGACCATTCTTTGAGAAAAATGTGCAAAGTGAATCACCTCTGTGAAATAAAACCGCAAGCTAAAATTACTTCAGTTGATAAGCAATTAGGAAAATGCAGGACACTTAAAGAGGAACTCCACACCCAACTGTTGGCACAATTCACTGGAAGTAAATTGTTAACTCTCACTAAATCTAATGAACATATTCCCCAAAACTGCCATGTAAACAGCCGCATGTTGGGTTAGCTTGGACACACAGGCAAATTCAGGATAATGCCAAATGGGCAGTGGCAGAGTTTCAGTGGCATAAACCTGAGGCAAAATATAGAACCAGGTCTTCTGAGCTCATGACAAGATGAAGTATCAATGTTTCCACTGGAGAAGTCATAGTGTCTCCATTCACGCCTAAAAAAGTTAAAGAAAAAAAAAAGGCTGTAGAAATAAAGTGATTCTGTGAACAAAGGAGGAATATGGGCTGTTGAGGGCTCCTTCATAATAAACAACTACTGGACAGAGCCAAAATCTGAAACGACCAGACTGACCAGTGTCCAGTGACAGACCATATAATTAGTGAGCTACAGAGCATAAAAACAACTGACTGCTTCCAATTATGATGTGAAAGGGCAACTTCACAGTTGTGCCACTTCGTAGTTCTGGGGAAAGGCAAAGGAAAATGTGTTAAAGGCCTAATGAGGTGTGTGGGTGGAAGTTACTGCCACAGTTTACAGCGGCTCAAGTTGTTAGTTCCTACCATGTGTCACTATCCAAGGGAAAGAGGGAATGCGAGGGAGGCTGGGATGGGAGCAGAGTGTGGGAAGGCATTTTCTCACTGGGATAACTACAAGTAAAGATTTCCTTTCTCTTCTTCCTGAACAGATCATTATATCAACAGACATTATATTTTAAAAGAGCCATTTTAAGATTCCCAGACAGATTCAGTAATTGATTCAGCATTTTTGTTATCCACAAGACACATTTGCTTATTTTAGGCAGTCTGGGGATTTGTTCCCTCAAGTTCCTTAAAATACAAAACAGAGAGGAATGAGGTAGGGACCTCAGTACATCTGCAGGAACAGACAGCACAGAGGGACCACTGTCTATAATACTGGGTGAAACTATAACCCCAATGAGAACCTCTCAGGATACACTCAGCCCACATAAACTTCTCTTGAAAGACCCACTGCACCCTCCACTTACTCACAGAACACACCATCTTGTCACTTACAGCTGGCACAGACAGCTGAGATGGCAGAGAGTCAACCACTCATTTGACAGTCCCTAATTTAAAAGATAAATCACTTCTGAGTAGATTAATTGAGTTTTCCAAAGGGTATCCTTTTGGCAATGGCGTTTTTCAGCACTGCCTTTCCACCTACCCTCAAGGGGTGAAGAGATCAGCAGACTTGCTTTGTGCAAAGAGGCTGCATAATCTGTAGAGAAATACAGACAAATAGCTATTTGGCAGTTTGTGATGACACCACAATATCAGCTCCTTGAGATTCCATTCAGAATGCTCATCCCCACATGGTTCTTCCAGGCCTGACCAACCTGGGAGGCTCTAAATCCTGAATTATTAAGAAGTATCTGGTATTAAAGGAAACAGCAGAAAGAAAAGGTCACAAAGAGACATTATTATTTTCCTACTTTTCCAAAAATTAGGAGTTCTGAAAGACCCTGAAAACCCATAACTGCATACTGGTTGAGAAGAGGGAATATTGTTTTTATTGTTGTGAAAGGCTATTGCAGAATTTTAACCTTCACTTAATACTTTGAGTTGCTTCTGGTTTGGACTCAAAATTTTTGAGTTTCTGCAGGATGAGCCAAGAAAATAAGTGGTCAGCCTGCAAAGAATTTAGGTGACATTTAAATAAAACAACAATTCAAATATTCCTCTCGCAGCTGGCTTGCATCTTCTACAGCTGATCAGCTCCTTGTCCTATCAGGCATTACAAGCCCTGCTGACCACAGGGGAATCACTCAGAGGGTTTTTTTAAAGGAAATTCAGGTGCTAGACCTTCAGTTCCCCTATACCACCAAACAATAGGATCCAGAAGCACGTTAAAGTCAGTGTTCTGTCTGTGCACATTGTAGATGAGAACAGCAGTATTTTCACTCCAGCTCCCCCAACAGACCCAGACATACTTCCAACCACTTTACAACCAAGATTCTCAAATCCTTGGTTACAGTGGGCAAACTCTGGATCTCCTGCTCCTCACAACACAGAGGAAGTCAAAAAACATCCTGGGTCCCAGGTGACTTAAAGAGGAGTCTCAATCCAGGGAGCCTCCAGTGGCCAGCACCTGCTTCAAGAACACTCATTTCATTTTATTATGGGAATATCAAAATTGCAAAGCATTAAAATATGAAAAGCGTGTTTAATCAATCAACTCCAAATCCTTCCCTTGAGCTGTGGCAGGAATCACTGTATAATGGAGAGTTCAGGGGTCCACCAAAGATCCTCAGCCAGGATCTACCAAGTCCTCTGCTGCTCTTCCTCATCAGTCAGCTGCACTTTCATTTTCCTTGAACATAAAAACCAGCCATTTCCCTGGAAGTCACAAAACTCCCTGGGTCCCAGGTGACTTAAAGAGGAGTCTCAATCCAGGGAGCCTCCAGTGGCCAGCACCTGCTTCAAGAACACTCATTTCATTTTATTATGGGAATATCAAAATTGCAAAGCATTAAAATATGAAAAGCGTGTTTAATCAATCAACTCCAAATCCTTCCCTTGAGCTGTGGCAGGAATCATTGTATAATGGAGAGTTCAGGGGTCCACCAAAGATCCTCAGCCAGGATCTACCAAGTCCTCTGCTGCTCTTCCTCATCAGTCAGCTGCACTTTCATTTTCCTTGAACATAAAAACCAGCCATTTCCTAATTATGTATTCTTATTCTTTTTTCTTTTTCAGAGTGTCACTGCTAAATTCCTACACAGACAGGATTTTTTTTGATTTTGAAAAATTAGATTTTTCAGCCAACATAAAGCATGTTAGTACAAGTCTTTCCTGCTTGTATTAGTACACACCATGCCATGGTGTGTACATGGTTTTGCACACTACTGCAATCAGTATGCCACAAAGTAACACTATGAGCAGCACTGGAGCTGCTGTTCATCTACCAAGAAATTATGTCAAAGGAAACCAAAAAACAAGCAAGTAAAAAAAATTTGAAGTGAAAAAGTAAATTACAGTGAATTGTAAAAGTTCTTTCTCTAGATTAACACTTTCCTCATGGAAAACTCTTTTTCCATGGAGACAGGGTGAAATATTTTTATTCTTATTTGATAAAATAACTATGTTTGACAGAAAGCTGTCAGGAAAAAAGTGATCTGAGTTTCTCTCAGTATAAAAACTGCATCTCAGCAGAAAGAGGGCATTGGTTCTGGGCATGGAGCAGAAACTCTGGAATCTCTGGGAGCTGGCTTGGGGGTGAAGAGAAAAGAGAAAGAATAAGGATTCATCTACAGTTTCTAAGAATAATCCAGAGAAGCAAATGAGCTCAGGGAAATGTTTTGTCCACAGGGTAAACCTTTCGGATATAGATGAACACGGCTTGTTTGTAGACCTTGATGAAAAGTAGTCTGAGACATTTGTTTCTCTTGGCTGTGGTGGCCGGGGTTAGCTACACACTTCTGCTTGTCATGGTATTCAAGAGTCTGGGAAATGTTACTTTTCCTGAGGAGAGGGTGTTTTGGAAACAGTGGTAAATCTCAGTTTCAATTAAAGCAACCATGTAAGGTGTTTTCTTTTTTATTTTTCTTTTTTTCTTTTTCTTTGCTATTTTTCTCTTTTTTCTTTTTCTTTTTCTTTTTCTTTTTCTTTTTCTTTTTCTTTTTCTTTTTCTTTTTCTTTTTCTTTTTTTTAATTTTTTTTTCTTTTTTTCCTCTTTCTCTTTTTCCTTTTCTCTTTCTTCCTCTGATTTGACTGACCTCCTCAAAGTGGAGGCATTGTAACATGGCATTGTGGTTCCTCACTCTGCAGCTGGAGAAATTCTGCCATGGCAAACACTTAGGGAAATGATGTTTGAAATGTCTGCACATACTTTCTGAGATGAGACAGGGGTTTCTCAGTTATCTGAAAGTCCTGGAGAAGCACATACTCTATTTTGCAAAGTTTTGTATGCAGGCAAGAGTTTTGAGGCAAAACACTGAAAAGGCAAAATCCGTTACAGCTGCAAAGGAACTATTTTGTCATGAGACTCAAATCACACAGAGATGATCTATAAGCCAATCTTTCCTCAGCCTATTTTCTTTTTAAGTGTTGTAATCCCAGAAGTGGGTTAGTGCAGGGATTGCAGGTGGCTCTGCTGTCATGAAAACTGTTTTATTTGATAAAGGAAACTTTTCATAAAATGTCTTCAAGAAAAATTTTTCACACCCTTTGAAGTACGCCAAGCCACTACATTTTATTTTCCACAGGGAAAGAAAGTAGCTGCATGTAAGACTATGTCTGGAGTGACTTTTGCTTCCACAGGAAGCTCTCCTGAATGTTTGAATGTTTGAAAGTGCTTGTATGTGGCAATTCTGCACACCAGTACTTCACAGAAGAATAAAATACTTTCTTCAAATCAAAAATCCAGGAGAAAGATGGCCAGCCATTTTTATCCCTTTTTTGTATTCTCTTAAAAAAAACTTCTGAAATCTCACTCTAACCACCCAGGAATGTACCACAATTTGCAAATGCTAGCTAATATTTTTCTTTGACTACCTACAATAATCTTTGGTATTTCTACATGACTGAAACAGTCACCACAGCTTTCATGTCCTAATAAAATGGCATCACACTGAAATGGAATTTATGCCATAGTTATGGATATGAAGCACAGGCTGTTCCTCAACCATGAGCCAGAACAGGAACTTGTGGCTTGAAATTTAAGTCAAGTCCTGAGTGTCAAGTTAGGGAAAGTATTGCATATTTAAGTCTGTTTATCTTCCTCTTGCAGATTAAAATTGTATGGGTGCCTTAGAGACAGGCTATTATCTTATCTGCTTTAAGCCACAGAAAATAATTTTGTCTAAAATGTACATGTAAAAACTCTGCTCTAATATTAATTCTTTTAAAGTCAGAGATATAGAACATTCTTTCCAAAAATTAAAGGCATTTTCTTCATGAGGCATCCACACATCTCTTGTCTTCAACAACTCTGTTGCAGTAAGAGTCAGATATCTTGGCCCCTGCGTGCCAGGGAAATCTCTACCACTCTTGTGAGAATAGTTAAAATTAAATTTGCCACTTTCTTCATATTTATATATCTATGATGAAGCAAAAGATTACTGGTTTTTTAAGAACTATTTTTTATAACATAGACCAAAATGAATTTGCACTTATTTCCTGTTTGTCTTTGACACAAGGACTTGAATATTTCTTTTTTGATCTGTATAAAGCACTGGGCACTCTCAGCCACAGATTATGGGCTTTTCAGCTTATTCCCCTTTGATATATCTAAACTGCTTCTTATCAGTCCTATGTGCACAGGGGAAATGGTAGATTTGGTTCATAATGCATATTTAGACACGAGGGATTGCAATGTCACCTTTTCCTCATATGCAAAGTCTCCTAATGGCTGTCAGGAAGCCATGGTCTAAAAAAATGTGTGTTCCTGGGCTCATTCCTACTTAGAAATGAAGCAGTGACCAGTTAATGTTTAATTATTTTGGTGAGCTGGAGTTTAATTTCACATGGGACATAACACTGAGGCCTGGAAAAGCCTCGCTGGGCTACTCAGACACTCTTTTGTTACAAAAGAAAGGAACCTAAACAAACTACATGAAGTTTCCACGGGAAGCAAAGAACAATCCAGAAGGCAGCAAGCCAGACAGAAAACACTCAAAACATTAGAAACAAAACAAAGATAAAACAAAAGGCAGAAATTCCTTTAAAGACAAGTGCACCAATTAATGTCTGAGCAGTTTTGCATTCTCCTGAAGCACACCAACAACTTGATTGAAAGGAATGGCAAACACAAACCTCCTCACTGTAGGTGGTCTTAGACAAAATTTACAGAAGTACTGCTTATGTCAAATAATATGGAAAACAGACCCAAAGCCACGCATTTATTTTTAATAATAAGCTTAGAAATGAAGGCATAGGGAAAACAAAGGAGGATGGTCTTGAATGTATTAGGTTTAGACTTGAGAAAATGACCCTGTTCCCATCTCTGCCAAACAGTCTTGGCTTCTTTCAGCTTGTTGATGAAGGACTAACCCTCACTATGCCTCAGTTTTTCATTTTGCAAGCAGATAATATTTGTTTTGACATCTCTTTTAAAAATATATTTTTTTAAAAATATGATCTCTGAGATATTTGGAGTGATACATGTTATTTTATGGGGCAGCTGTAAAGTGCCATGGGCACTGTGGAATTTGATCATCATTTCTTCACGTATACACTACAAAAATAAAAACAAAATGTATGTTCAAATTTCTTATGTCCAAATCTCTGCTATCAATATAGACCATTCTGTTCCCCAAGGCAATGTATCACTTTTGCAGCTATCAAGATATTGCATATGAACTATCACCTGCAGGAGAAATAGGGCCTCTGCAGAGTATTAGTGCTAGCAATTTTTATTTTTTTTAGATTTCAACTGAGATCAGGAGTACTATCAGCAATTCTGTAAAAGCTTCAGCAAACCTGAAAAAGAACAGCTAAACAAAAAAAGTTAATACTTCTGAAGCTCATGAATTTGAAATAATGTCATCACAAACTTGCTCTAAATATACTTTGTTTCCCACAGCTCTCCAACAATTAGCATTATGTAAGGTCTCTGCATGTTAGCATAGATGATAATCCCCAACATTTCCTAACAGACAGGTACCAATAGCATTGTTTGATCCTCTGGCAAGATGCAGTCTCTAATGGATTCACCCATTCTGCTTTCAGTTTCAGGCACAAATCTATCTCCCTCTAAACAGTGGGCTCCTTTTCAGGGGTGGGGTTTTTTTTTTTGTTTTTTTTTTTGTTTTTTTTGGTTTTTTTGTTTTTTTTCCCATACATTCTCCTTTCCAAGAGCAAATTAGAAAATCAGGTGCATGTGTAAAATGGGAAATACAGCAAATTTGTGCATTCACTCACCTGTGTCTGAGTTCCTCCTCTCCCTCTACATCATCACTTTCTGGTATCAGAGAATCAGAATAACCACAGAACCATGGGATCACAGAACCCTGGAGTCACAGAATCATAAAACAATAGAATTATAGCATGGTTTGGGTTGGAAGGGACCCAAAGGATCATTTTGCTCCCACTCTCCTTCCATGGGCAAGGATGCCCCTCGCTAGACCTGATCTAAACCTGCCCTCTGTCAGTTTAGAAGTGCTGTCTCTTGTTCTGCCCATGTAAAAAGTCCTTCTCCCTCCTTCTTATAAGCCCCCTTTAGAGGAGGGAGGCCACAACAAGGTCTCCTCAGAGCATTTCCTCCTCCAGGCTGAACCATGCCAGCTCTCAGTCTTTCTCCACAGCAGAGGTGCTCCAGCCCTCACAAAATCCTTGTGACCCTTCATGTCCTTCCTTGCAGCTTCAACAAGGTGCCACTGACTGCTCCCTGCCCCCTTAGACAGCACCACAAGCCTTTTAGTTCATTCTCTTGAGGTAAAGGGCTGATAGACTGTCTCTGCAGTCCACAGATGCAAAACTGTGATCTGCTCCTGCCGTGCTGATCTTTGACATCAATATCCGTGAGAGCAGTCTGTCTAGGAGTCCTGTTTTAAAATCGCAGAATCACAGGATGGTACGAGCTGGAAAAGGCCTTGAAGAACACTGGGTTGGGACACCTTCCACTAGACCAGCTTGCTCCAAGCCCTGTCCAACCTGGCCTTGAACAAAGAAAAGTCCTATCTCCACTCAGGTCCTTTCAAGACACATAAATGTTCACTCTTGAAAAATGAGCTCTGGACCCAGAGCAGAGGGACAGAGTCACCTGCCAGCCTGAAACTGGCATCTGTGAGTTCCTCCTGGCCCAGTATTGGCACCAAGGGGAGACTGCTTCTCTTTCCCTGTGTGCAGTCACTGTATTGAAGAACTAAATCCACCATGAGCTCTGTAGGTGACTCTTGGCCATGATATAAATGCCCTGTGTGATAAGGATCAGGCTGCACAGTGCAGATCCCGTTAGCTTAAAATCCCTATATTGAACCTCTCCTTCAGTAAATCTGTGTGCCTTAGCTACAATGGTCAAATACCAGGTTTGAACATTTCTCCAGGTGTCCAGGGAATGAAACCTGAGCCTTGCACATCATCAAGTGTCCAATTCCACAAAATAGGAATTAATCTCCTAATATTGCTGTAATTTCTTTGAAAGCATTCATTTTGCCTTTTGGTTTATACACAAGATCTCTTTTAAATCCTGGCAAGGTATTTGCACTTGAATTATGCTCTCTTTCATGAGTTGTGTCATTTGAGCTGCCTAAGCTGTGTGGCTTTTGAAAAAATAAATCTTTTTTATTGAAATGAAGATAACAACCAGATCATGAAATAGGAAGAGACTCTTAACGATGCTTAAAATGTGATCTATTGCTAATGGTATGAGCTGCATAAACTTTTACAGAAGTGTTTTCACTCATTCCTGAATTATTGATACCTACTCTGTGCTGGGTGAAAAAAACAGATGTGATAAACAACAAAACAACTGTGACAAATAAGCATTTTATTGTTTGTTATTTTATTATTATTTGCCCATTTATAAAGATGAAGAATACAGAGCAGCCCTTGTCACTGAACTTCAGTAGAAATCCATCTGAGAAATTATTAAAATAATTTAATATTTGCAATGTTTAATTGAAACAGTCTAAAGGAAACTGAGTTGAAAATGGATCTCAGCAACCTGTATATCTCTGTGCACTTCTTTTCTAAGTTGAATAGACATCCTTTGGGCATGAATCAGGGGGATGAAGTTATAATTAAAATATAGAAACCTGAATTAGGATCAAGGCTGTATATTTCCTAAACATTTTTCAAAAATGTAAATAGAGACAATTTGGGTCTTTGGCTGCCTATCCACTTGAATTTCCTCTTTAGTATGACATTAAGGCAATATCTACCATAGGTGGACTTAGAATCTAAAACATTTTAAAGAAAGTGTATTTCCATATCATGCTTTGAAATTGGTGGCAATAATTCCCCAGTCTGTTATTAAAGCCAAGACTTTCAGAGGATTACAAAGGGTCTGGCACATACTTAGATAAAATATTCAGAGTTCTGGAAGGGTCAAAGCTCTTGTGCTCCTTGGTGTGTACCAACTTTTAGCTACAGAGACTCAAGAAGAAACTTTTCTGCCCTTCTGAGCAGACTTTGCCTTAATTGCAAGGTCTCTGGCCTTTCAGAGCAGGTGGCTCTGGCCCCCTCTGGATGATCATACAGCTGCTGCTTCTGCTGTTCCATGGTTTTATTGTCCTCAGAGAAGAAATTGTTTCTTGATGAGCTTCAGATTTTTTAGAGTCGTGTGTATCAAAATGCTTGGTTATAATATGTTCTTCTTTACTGCAGGAATTACACAGGCAATCAGATGGAGCTGAGGTATTTGCATGCATAATTAGATTACTTCTATGCACAGTTCCACATGCAGCTTAAAGTTGAGGCTATGAAGAGCCAGGTAATACCCTTTTGGTTGAGCTCCTCAGGTTCAGAGAAGTTGAGGCTATGTTTCTGAAGATAAGGTCAGTATCTACACATCTCCTATTTAGGGAAGACGAATAAAGGCACAAAAAACATATCCAAGCTGACTTCCAGCTACAGCCAGTATCTGGCTGATGGGGAGACTCTTAAATGAGAGATGTTAATTAAACTTTTGAATTCTTAGATGTGCCTCTACTCTCCTCCACTGAGGCTAACAGTGGACATTAACCCTTCTGACCAAGACCCTCTAAAGTGTAACTTTTAGTGTAATACTCTTATACAGACTGAACATATGTAGTGGACACTCACAATCCCCAGAAAAGATTTGCTGTCCATAGGGAAGCTTGGACTTTGCTGCAGTGTTGGGTTTTTCCAGTCTGTCTCATGGAATGAGTTCTTTACATTTGACCTTTCAGCAGCTGCCTTGCAAACAGCTACAGTGTCTGCCCTGTTTATTTATTTTAATCTCTCCTTATATTTGCTCCCCATCATTTTTTCCTTCCGATTTCCAAAGAAATGGCACACATTTTCTGGGGGAAGCAGTACAGCCTACATGGTTGGACACTGGCTGGATGAAAAGGAAATGTTGATTTTCTTCCAGGACTTCTGTGCATTGTGAGTCACTTCACTTCCCCATGCCTCTATCTGTATCAGTGGAATGGATGATGTTATACCATTTTTAAAGTCCTTTTGATATATCTTGATGAAAAGTGCTCTGCCAAAATTAGGAAATATCTTGCATCTGCAAGTCCTTAATGTTGTGGGATGCAAGTTGGCTCTGCCCTGTGTTTGACAAAAGTCAATTTCAGCAGTTCTCTCTCCTTCTGCATTAAACAATAAAACTCTTTTCCTCCCTTCCTGAACTGAACTATCCTAATAATGTTTAATTTATTTTTAAATGGAAAGTGTACTCATAGGTCTAGGAATTTGTGTGGAAACTTTAGATAGCTGATGCCAAATATGTTGTGATTAGTAAAAAGATTATAAAGATTTCAGTAGGGTCTGGATGAACCCATCTTTTTGTTCTTTTATAGGCTGTGCCCTGTGTTTGACAAAAGCCAATTTCAGCAGTTCTCTCTCCTTTTGCATTAAATAATTAAAACTCTTTTCCTCCCTTCCTGAACTGAACTATCCTAATAATGTTTAATTTATTTTTAAATGGAAAGTGTACTCATAGGTCTAGGAATTTGTGTGGAAACTTTAGATAGCTGATGCCAAATATGTTGTGATTAGTAAAAAGATTATAAAGATTTCAGTAGGGTCTGGATGAACCCATCTTTTTGTTCTTTTTTTCTTGTTTTCTTCTTTCATTCTTTTTTCTTTCTTTTTTTTTTTTTTTTCTATGAGAGGAGGAAATGGGGGTGCTGCACTGACTAAATTATCTCTATGGAAGCATCTTCCAAATGGAAATTATAAAATTACTTTGCAGATTTTTGCCAACAGCATTTGGACTGGAAAACGTCCGGCTACTTTACTTTCCATGCCTTATTTGAAAACATTTTAAGAATATTATGAATTTCCCCTTATAGTTTAACAGACTGGAAAGGAGGAAAGACGAAAAGTCCCTTTCTATATATAATATGAGATGTCTATTAGTAAAATTGTATAAATAGCACACAATAGATCTTTTTCTTAAAAAAAATGATCAAAGAAATTTTGACAATTCTTTCTCTTTTCTTAATTTGAATTTTCTTAAAAATAATTAGTCCAGCCCACCTCACACTCAATTCTTTCCAAATATTCCCTAAAATAATTCTCAATCATTTTCTTGCAGCTTAATTAGAAGTGTAATTTAATTTAATTAAAAACTAAATTTTCACTTGTAGTGAAAAAAGATTTATTTAACTTAATAAAATTTATTAATATATTTGAGGTTTTAGTCACATTCATTTTTTCCCCCTAATACCCCAAACTAATATCCCAAAGCCATGGTGACTAAAATACACATAACTACTACATGTGGGAGGGTAAAATTTATGGATTCAGAAAAATGGAGAAATATATCAAAAAAATCTCAGAAACTTTTCATGTGAAATACCCAATCCAATCTTTTTTATATACCAAAAATATGTGGGAGTTTTTCACTGAAATTATATTAAAGATGATATCAAAATGTCAGAAACTTATTCTGCCTTTTTTCCTTCTCAGTTACACTTCTCTCTGTGTATCTTATCTACTTGATTATAGTTTGGTTCCACTGGAATGTTCATCATAGCAGATACATATTTTGTATATGTTGCTTCTTTTTTTTTTTTAATGATTGTTCAATATCATCAGTTCTTTCATCTGCAAATAAACTATACAAAATCAAGTAAGCCTGGTCACATCATTATGATTGTGTGCAAATTCCTGAAAGTCATAGAAAATCCACTAGTGGGAGTGTTCTGGTCACTGGGTGTAGCTGTTTTGAAGAGCAGACCTGGTGCAACATCTTCTGGGAGCTCAACTGATCTTCTCAGCTTCTTCAGGCATTGCTCCTTAAATCTTTATTTCTCAACATGCACGTGTGTGTCTATGTGTGTGCACACTCTCTTTGGTCTTTTCCTGGACTGAA